CTGGAATATAAGCAGAGTTGATTGGACAAAGCTCGTACGGATAGTCTCCACTTATAGGGAAGTCTACAGAATAATTGGACCTAAAGAACCGAGCAAACATGTTAGCAATGAGTTGGCTGTCGCTAGATACAGTGTTGCGATAATGCATAGCGGACGGAAAACCACGTGCTTTACGCTTTGAATTTACGAAACCATAAAATGATTTAGGACTGTTAATTAAATTCTTATTAATTTTACATAAATATGAATTATAACATTTCTTATTTAATGCAAAGTAGCTATGCCGCAAAACTGAGTACCTTAGGTAATCACTGTGTAAGCCCGTTCTTTTATACAGTTTAACAGAGTGTGACTTTTTATTTTTCAAATTTTTAAGCTCTTTAGTGAACCATAATTGTATTGGTTCTTCATGAACAATATTACGTATTGGCACATACTTTCGAAACAAATTGAAAACAGTATCATTAAAGTGCTCAACGCTACGCTCCACGTCATCTCTATATATTGGCCAAGATAACTTTGAAAGTTCTTTGTTAATTTTCCTGAAATTTGCTTTCGCAAAAACATATCTAGTACTTGAACTTGAATTATTATTATGTATTTCATTTATGATTTCGTAGCTTAACTCAAGAGCAGGATGGTATGCATCTTCCGGCAAAACTAGGGGATCACACCGATTAATAGAGGCCTTCGGAACATCATCAACGTAAACGAGATCCAAGACCTTTCCAAACTTATTTGGACATATATTTATTTGTTTGAGGCAAAGTTCAGCCATTTCCTCCAGAAATACATTGTAACTATCTCTAGATGAAACTGGTATAACATCGGTGTCAATGATGTTCCATGAAATATGTGGCAGGTTTAAATCGCCCAAAACAATCATAGAATCGGATGCCGTAAGCATTGCATTTACGGTCTCAAGTAAAGAAACTAGCTGCATATATACCGATACGGCAGAATGAGGAGGGATGTAGCAAAGAGCTAAATAAATATAAGTCTTTCCAGCCTGTACACGTATACATTTAAATTTGGTATATTCAATGGCAGGAAGACTAACTTCCTCGGATGGTATCGATGAATGCACCGCAAAAAGAACACCACCGCCGATTCTGCCCACGCGGTCACTCCTGTATATTTGATATTCATTTGGAAGAATTTCGGAATTAAAAATATGAGGTTTGAGCCATGTTTCGGTCAAGGAAATAATATTATAATTGCAGTCAAAACCTTTTAAATATAAGTCAGTTAATTTGGTATTCAAACCTCTAACGTTTTGATAGTAAATACTTAAATTAGACTTGCGAGTTAGTTTTTTGAATCCGAATTAAGATTAGAAATTTTAGCTACGTTATTATTACTTTTATTAGGGTTATACTCAAACTCGCGAACAAACGCCCCGGTCGGCCAAAATGAACTATTTAGTAGTGAATCAAAATCTTCGGAAGCTACATCAATTTTAAAAGATGAAATATCGCGATCCTATTTAAAATTAAATTTACGAATAAATACATCTTTAGTTCTAATTTTAGTCAATATGTATGACTTTATATCATCCGAAGAAGTATCTTTAGCAAATCTAGAGACAAAGATTGATCTTCTCGGAGGAATTACAACCAACTTTTTGGTAATGATGTCTGATGTGCGGGGCTCCGAATTATTAGGAGGAACTAAGTTAGACAGTTGACCTTGAGTGTTGATGGCAACACTGTTAAATCAACGGTTTGACTATTTTTAGAAGTAGACCTAGTGGATATGGCTTTAGAAATCGGAGGCTCCAATGCCTGAGGGCATGGAGAAGATAAATTAATAAGTTCTAAGGACTGGGATGGAGGATTTTTTTTGCTAGAATCCGTGGCTGTCTTTTTAGGTGGACTAATAACATGCCCACCTTTATTTTCTCGGCTATCCTCAGCGTGTGGAGGGTCGTCGAGACAAGTGAAATACCTAAAAATTTTTTCGTAATGCTTAAATTTCTAAACAAGCGCCGACAGATCCTTCCCGAACCATTTCTGGACTGCCTGAAGAATTTAAATAAATCAACTTCGGTTGATCTACATTTTTGACAAGACCAACGAAGACCCTACCCTCGTTAATAGCGTCTAATACTCTACAGCTCAAACCAGCACATTTTATATGGGCAATCCCATCGCAGAGCCAGCATGACACATAGGAGTCGCTTTTAACGTGGCAATTGGTGTAAATACACGACATGTTTAAAATTATATTTATTTTTAGGTTTTAGAAGCAAAAAAGCAAAAACGGTTTTGTAAACGATGTATTAATCAGTGAACCAATCAGCTGGTAAATATCAGTTAGAGAACAGTTTTAAATGCACTGTATATTTGACACCTAATAAACAAATGAATGAAACAGCAGAAATGACAAAAAGACAAAAAGAGCAAAATCAATGTGCACAAACAAAAACAATTGTACAACAACAATATATTATATGAAACAAAATACTCGGCACATGCAATTAAGAATATCAAGTTAAATTAATCAAATTTACGGGAAATTTTACTTATCTTTAAATTGTGCACTAGAAGTTTATTAACACTTTTTTTAATTGTTTACTTTAATAAGCGTAAACAGCTTTATCAAACACAAAATTTAAACAGATCACAGAAAAACACAGCTTCACAGCTTGACGTTTGCGTTCTACCTAAGACTTTGTGGTGTTGTACCGAACAGTAGTCCTGAAATTCCTTCAGTTCATATATCCTCCTTGGTCTGTGGGAAAAGAAACTATATATGTTGCGGCACAGTGTCTCATGCTTTTCGGCAATTTTTTACAAGCGTTGATTGAGCAAAGGTGGAGAGAATGGCATGTGCACTTTACGTAAAACAAATCGGTTTCTGCAATCAATCATGTTTTCAGTATCCAGCCATAACATAGGCTCCATCAGTGCCCAAACCAATTACGTTTCTTATTTTTAAAGGCAGGATTGGCAAATGTTTAAAAGGTACAATTGGCAAATATTTATATGCAAAATTATGTTTGAAATATGTATTTTTATAATTATGAATTTAAAAACTTAATTAAACTATCCGACCAAAATTTTACTTTGCCGACCAAACTACCAAATGAAAAAGAAGCGACCCAATTTGGTCGGAAAAGACAATAGTGGAAACACTGATAACAATATGAAGCTATGTATTACGCTTAGTGTACAAAGAACACAGAAATCCATGAAATTGCATGCTTCTTAATAGCGTGTCAGGCGTGGCAATATTTCCAACTTTTCCATGCAATTCGCTGTCGAATTGAGAAAGATAAATTTTATTTCGATGAGTGAACAGCCAGAAAAACCTTTCTGTAACAATTCGGGAATGAGTTCCAGAAATAAAAGTTGCAAGATGTGACGGCAATTGAAAGAGCAAAAATCAATTTCGAAAATAGATTTCAGCTTGCTCGTGCTGAACTAGCAATTTTTGTTTCTGCTGCAAGTGCTGGCTAACTAATCGAGTGTTGCCGTATGACACTTATACCAAGTTTGTGATAAATAATAATGCATAATTTTGAATAAAATATCAGAAATATTTCTAATTAATTATTTTTCGGAATTTTATTGGTTAGTTATAAATATTTAATTAATCTTAAAACTGAAAATAACTTTTATTATAACGAAGAGAAAAAACAAACAATCTGCCAAGCGGTCCAGGGCAAAGTCCGACCGATTAATCGGCCGATGCCGAGGCTAGTATCGGCCAAAAGAATCGGCATCGGCCGTTTTTGGAGGATTCTTGTATGACGAAATGTTATTTAGTTATTTGATTATGTTTTTCTTTTGTTATTATAAAAGTTTGTAAAAGCATTTGTTCTTGAAATTAATTTATATTCAAGATTTTATCGGCTGAAGCATAGGCCGATTTTTTGCCGATTATATCCTGAATATAAATTCATTTCAAGAACAAATGCTTTTATAAACTTTTATAATAACAAAAGAAAAACATAATCAAATAACTAAATAATATTACCTCATTCAAGAACCGGCCAAAAACGGCCGATGCCGATTCTTTTTCCCGATACTAGCCTCGGCATCGGCCGACTAATCGGTCGGACTCTAGTCCAGGGATGCATTTAGTATCGTGAAAGATTGGCGGAAATTCATTCGCCAAGAAAACGTTTTCAAAAATTTCGCATTTCGGAAACCTCTTTCGAAAGACACTTTACATGCAAGGTCATGCAACGGCTTTCTGATATTTTTCATTTTGGCAGCCTTTCGAAATATATTGCATTATTATCACTGACAAGCTCTTTACGTATTTCGTAACCGCTGGATATGCATCACGCTGGTTCAAATAACAAATTAATAGAAAACATGGGAAATCAAATTAATTACTTTTTTAATTAACGTCGTTGAGATATTAGTTTTCTTTTTTACGCGATATTGAGTTTGTAATACTCGTAGTTGTTACGAGCTTTCATGATTTGGGTTTTCGTGCGCAAAAACTTGCAAGAAACAGAAATTGAGAGGAAGCTGCAAGTTTTTTCTGAATAAATTCTTACTTGTAACAGTTCGCCAATAAGAAAAACAGCTGTTTACATGCTACTTCTTGCATTTTGCAAAAGAAAACTCTTTAATTAAAATTTCATGAAACTAGTAACTGCTAGTAAGGTTAGCGTTTCCGTACTTTTCGGGATAGTTTTCTCATTGAGAGGGATCCTAGGAAATCAAGTTACTTGCAAGTTTCTGAATATTTTTTTTTATTGGAGAATACATGAACGGAGCTAGTGTTCATCTTCTCGGTTTCTGTGTTCTTTGGTAAATAGCTGGTACAATAACTTATGACTAGATTTATTACAAGTTGGTCCTTATAAACAAGTCTCAAAATTTTTATTTCAGTTAAGATAAAATGAAATGATAAGTTCTTAAACACAAAACATCGGTTCAAAAAAGAGTCAAACGCTACAATTTCTGGTACATTTTCTTTTTCCAAGTGGCAACCGTGCTCATAATCTCAATTAATTTTATTTCCACTGCAGACATCCGGCGTCAATAACACCAATTATCGCTCGAGTGACCTGCAATTTGACGAGGATGGACAGCGCGTTAATTTTGGCATAGACATTTTCGAACCGCAAGACAATTGTGGCATTGGTTTCTGGGATACGAAGGGTCAAATAACGCCGCAACATGTAGAGGCAAGCATCGCAAAGAAGCTGGTTTATCGTGTAGCCACGCGTATTGGGGAGCCGTACTTTATGGAGATGTGAGCATCAGATTTGTTTGTTTGTATTGAATAAAAATTTCTTTGGGATAACCAACAGACCCGAGATGGTGGAGCAGAATGTGACTGGCAATGAACGGTACATGGGTTATGCAGTAGATTTGATTAAAGAAATTGCAGAACTTATGAATTTTGAGTATATATTTGTGCCTGTAGCAGATAACCAATATGGCAAATACAATAAGGAAACAAAGCAATGGAACGGCATAATTGGCGAGCTGATCAATAATGTTTGTATAATATCTGTTGTATGCACACACATATATGTATATAATTTTCGTTAGTTAATAACTATTCTTAGTTACATCAATTACTACAAGATATTGTCCAAACATTAAAATAAATTATTTTGTTGCTCTAATGATTTTTAGGATGCACATATGGGCATTTGTGACTTGACTATTACACAGGCACGCCGTACCGTAGTGGACTTTACCGTGCCCTTCATGCAGCTTGGCGTAAGTATATTAGCCTATGCAGATACACCCGAGCCAAAGGCTTTGCTGGCTTTTCTTGAGCCATTGAAAGGAGAAGTATGGATGTACGTCATGGTTGCGATTTATGTCATATCTTTCTTATTTGTGTTTTCAGCAAGGTAAGTAAACTAATAACTTTTAAGCAAAATATGATATAATTACATATGTATATGTACATTAGAGTGCATAACATTACAAAATTTATTATATTTAAAGACGTCCCCCAATATATTTCGAAAAAATGTTAAGATTTACGTGAGCTGAACCGACTTGAATATACCTCCTAAAATGGGGTTATTATTGAAAAATTTGTTTCTAAAAGAACTTTTTGAAAAAAATTCCCTCAGATGACAAAACAGTTAAAGCTTAAAAAATCTGCATAAAGATATTTAAACATATTTTCAATGGGATCGTAATAATGAGATATTTGATGCTGCTTTTCACTTTTTTCAAAGATTCGTTTAAGAAAAATTTGAATAACTGGGGCAAAACTATACAGATTTATACTTATTAGATATCACTGGAAAGGTATTTTCTAGGGATGTGCCGGGTATCCGGTAGATATCCGGAATCCGGCCTATCCGGCCGTTTTTTGGTTATCCGGTTATCCGGCCGGATACTGGCTAATATCCGGCCGGATTCCGGATATCGATTATAGAAGATTCAATTTAGAAATTTGACCCAGATTTTGTATTTTGTAATCCAATTTAATAGTATCTAATTAGTAATCAAAGTCTCCGCATTATCGGGCAACAACCTATTTCTATTTTCAACATAAATGTTACCCGATGCACTAAATACTCTTTCCGAGTTCACTGAGGAAGGTGGCGCGCAGAGATACCGCATTGTCAGTGTAAACAAATTTGGAAATTCTTTGCGGCTATACTTTCACCAAGTTAAGGGATCTTCTTGTCTGGATATAAGAGGTAGCTGCAAATATTTCTCTATTTCTAGTTCATAAATCGCTGCCTTTTTTCATGTACGTTCGCTGCCTTGTCTACCAATCGTTTGGCTATCCATATCACTAGAAACACTAGAATCAGCATCAGAGCCGTTGGCGATTTCCTCAAAGCATTGCCAAATATCCTCGTGAGCTCGATCTTCGATGGAAGCTTTCACTATAGTTCGGCATTTTTCATATGATTCAACTGGTTTCTCCATACTAACTGATTTATAATTTCGAATTAGTTCATCAACAACCCAGTTTTTAGCTTTATTGGCGTCAGAAAAAGAAACGAGTTTTGAAACGTGGGTCACAAAATGTTGCAATAGTGAAGCATTGTCGTTGTTGAATGTTTAGTCCTATAATCAAGTAAATTTTTTTATTAATAGTTCTATAAATACTTTTGATAAGTGAATCTCAATTTCATACCTTTTGCGACAGAGTTGCATTGGCTTCAGTTTATCAGGTTTATTCAGTGAAATCGCTGGATAAATTTATCAGAAATGTGTAAACGAGTTTCCATACAAATTTTGACAGTTCATTTATAAAGTTTACACAATTATAGTTTTATACGGTTTACATTGCATTTATAAGCTTTGATGAATACCCTTAGTAGTTTTGACTTTCATCAAATTTGATAGCCGTTTGACATGTGCTGTGGACCGTGTAAAAAGTGCTGTTTGATCAAAATGATAAACAAAGTGAAAGAACAAGTGCCCGATAATTTAAATAAAAGAAGAAATGAGCAAGAAGAGAAAATAATTCGACTTCATTTTAGAACTAATAAATTATTTCAAAAATCTCCAAAACCTTTTTTGTGGTGATACAACTTCAACAAAAACTGAAATTTTATGGGTTTTTTGACGTGTGTGACCATCTAATTACACAGACATATCTGTGCACAATAATTTAAATAAAAACACTGTGAGGACCAAATATCCCTGAGGAATTTAGCCCACACAAGCAATACGACACCGCACAACAGCCAGTCAAGCAACACAACTCATAGCAACACAACTCGTAGCAACACCCGACAGCATCTTTGTGACCATGACAACGAAGCATCACACAGCAACATGTGGCTGCACGACCACGCAACATCAAGCACGCAGCCCATAAAATATAGAGCACAGCCAGAAAACGGTCAGTCAGCACGGAGCTGTGGTCGCGAGTGAACGACTACGGTTGAAGGGAGCGATAGCTTGTGAGTGGTACGCACACACCACAAGACATCACCACTCAGAGTAGTGATCATTAAAAACGGTTCCGATCACCGCTCGCCACTGTCTACCGCGAAGCCGCGTACGAA